GTTACTTAGTCTCTTTTGATTGGAGATCATATTTCCTCTCACTTGTGGGTGACGCCTTGAATTTGACAGTCTAATTAATAAACCGTATACCATCTAGTGTTCTCAATTTTAGAAGACCATTAGATGCTCTCTCTGGTCACTACAATCTTTTGCCAATGGTAGTTTTGGCTCCTTGAATTTTTGGGTGTGTGGTCTATGTTCACTTGCAACCATATCAACGGATTAAACTTGAGTCTCGTGCAGTGAAGAGTGGTTTTGGGATATGAGATCAGTCAAAAGGGCTAAAAGTGTTATAATCCATTTTCTCGGAGGTTTTATGTTTTCATAGATGTTATTTTTCATGAGAAACAACTTTTCTATAGGCCACTTACGACTAATTTACCAATTCAATGGGAGAATCAAGATGACGTTATTAATCATGAAGAAGTGCATGTGTTTTTTCCCAGAGATTTAAATTTCTCAAACGAAGGAAATCAGATGTCCAGAGATATCGTAGAAAATAATTCTCAGTCTAGGATCTTTCCTGAACAATCGAAGGAAGAAAAACCGAGAGACCTATGAATTTACGGATGAAGACTGTGTCTCAGATTTGTTCCAAACAACTAGAAGTGATACCATCGATCAACCTAACGAAGGGGAAAGGTCCCCGATTGTTGAATAAACGATTCCAAACTTCGAAGATGATTCTCTTCATGATAGTACAATGTCTCTTAATAATCCAATACATCCACTATACCAATCTTCTTCTGAAATTTCCTCAAAGGTACCCACTAATCCTAATTCTACGATTGTTATGTGTTAATTTTGAATCTCAATTGTCTCAATATCCTCTTCCAGCTCATTCTAATTGTGGTATACCACCCCTTAAATATGAGTCTGATCTTAAATCCAAAGCTAGATATTCATTAGTAATTACGTGTCTTCCAAAAAAAATGTCCAAGTCATATGCGTCTTATGTAGAGTTATTCTTTGTCTCTATTCCTAGTAAAATGCAGAAAGCTTTAGTAGATTCTAGATGGACCTAAGCTATGGCTAAAGAAATGGCAACACTTGAAAAGAATGCTACGACTTGTGAACTTGTGCCTCTATCGAAGGGAAAGAAGACCGTGGGATGTTGATGGGTGTTCACGGTCAAGCATAAGGCGAACGAGACCATTGAAAGGTATAGAGCTTGGTTGGTTGCAAAAGGATATAAGCAGTCTTATGGGATTGGCTATCAAGACACTTTTGCACTGGTTGTCATGTTTAACACAGTTAGAGTGCTTTTGCCTTTGGTGGTAAACCAAGATTTTCCACTTCTTCAATTTGATGTAAAAGTGCTTTCTTGCATGGAGATCTAATAGAAGAAGTGTACATGGATCCTCTTTAGGTATAGAAAAGTACTCAAATGTTCCAATGGTGTGCAAACTCAAGAAGTCATTGTATGGGTTAAAGCAATCTATAAGAGCTTGGTTCGGTAGATTTACCAAATATATGAAAAGCTAGGATTATTTATGTTGATGATATGGTGGTGACAGGTGATGATCAAGATGAAATTAAGAACTTACAATGACACTTGGCCTTGGAATTTGAAATGAAACAGCTTGGTGACTTGAAGTACTTTCTTGGGCTTGAGGTAGCTTGATCAAAAAATGGTATTTTCTTATCTCAACAGAAATACATTCTTGATTTGTTAATTGAAACAGGTATGCTTGGATGTAAGCCTAGAAATACCCCTATTAATAAAAGCATAAGTTGTTTCATTGTTTAGATGCAACTTCTATTGATAAGGCAAGGTACCAAAGACTTGTGGGAAAATTGATTTATTTGTCCCACACTAGGCTAGATATTAATTATGCAGCATGTGTAGTGAGTCAATTTATGCACGATCCTCATAAACCTCACATGGATGCTGTGGAACATTAATTGAGGTATTTGAAGTCTACTCCATGTAAAGCATTTCTTTTCACCAAGCATAATCATCTAAAGGTGAAAGGTTACACTGATGCAAATTGGGTGGTTCAACTTATAACAAAAAATCTGCTTCAGGATATTTTACTTTTGTAGGGGGAAACCTTGTGATTTGAAGGAGTAAAAAGCAACGAGTAGTAGCAAGGTCAAGTACAGAAGCTGAGTATAAAGACATGACTTTTAGAGTGCGTGAGTTACTATGGTTGAGGAACTTGCTCAGGGGTTTGGGTGTTGACTCTAAAGTTGTATTGTGATAACACTTCAGCTATAGAGATTGTTCACAATCCAGTACAACACGATCGGATGAAGCATGTAGAAAAAGATTGACACTTAATTAAGGAAAAACTTGAAGTTGGGATCATTATATTTCCTTTTGTGAAGTTTGAAGACCAACTAGCCGATATTCTTACCAAAGACATAGCTAGCAATGTTTTTAATGACTCTTTAGACAAGTTAGACATGTGTGATATCCATACTTCAACTTGAGGGGGAGTGCTAGAATTAAGGGATAGTATCCTATAATTAAGAGTTTGATATGGTCAAACCTATAATTAAGAGTTTAATATGGTCAATATTCTTAAATACCATTACCTTATTTTTCTCTTATAGAATATTTTCCGTAATATTTTGTAATTACTTCTTTTACTATTTCCTTGTAAATGTTTCCTATATGTACCTATATATATATATTATATAATATATATATTATATATATATATATATATATGATAGAGTTACAATGAATTAAAATATCAAAAAAATTACTTCTCCATCCAAAGCACTATACAATAAAACATCTCTATAGTGATACTGTATATAGGAATAACTTTTATGTAGTAATAAAAAATGTTAGTCCCAACTTGGGATAATTATAATTAAGAATAAACTTTATATTATAATAAGTTATAATTTTTTTAATTCTCATCTTAAGAAAGTTGCTTCCACACATTAATAAAAGTTTAAGGTGAAATATATTATTTATCTAAAACATGAATTATAAAATAAGAAATCAAGTAATATTAAAAGTAAATAAGAAATCCTAATACAACTAAAATAATTAATTGAAATTCTAATAGATGCTACTAAAACGTGAATTATAAAATAAGAAATTAAAACAATAATTTTTGTAATTACACCTATATTAAGTTATAACCTCTTTGTAGTAATAAATTAGTTTGATACCACCATTATGACTATAGACAGGCACGTAGCGAAATAGAGAGTTGTGGGTTCAATTGAACCCACTCAACTTTTTAAAAATTTTAAAAACGTTTTAATGTTTTATAGAGTTTACAATTTTAACCCTATTTAACTTTATGTTGATCTCACAAAATGAATTATTAATTAACATTTTTTTTAACTTTTCTCCCTTCTTCATTTCCACTCCTTTTAGCCCGTATTATATTTTTTCTTTGATTAGATGCTCAAAAAGGCTACTCCTTTGGATTACAAGGTAAGATAATGTTCGTTTTATTTATTTATTTATTTTTACTTAAAATTCTTTTCTTTTAGCTTTCTTAATTAATAAAAGATCATGAGCTATAAGTTTTTGTTGAGTTTAATAAATGTATTTAAAATTGAAAGATTAAATTCCTAGATTTTGATGTGAGTTTTGATTTAATCTTGTTTATGTTGAGGTATGGGTTAATTAATTATTGTTTTAAGTTGGATTTGATAAATTTTGGTTAGTTATTGAATTAATTTTGAATTGTTTAAAGAATTGATGAAACCCTAAGTTGTAGAGATTTGGGGATTTTGTTTAATTTTGATATATTGGTTAATTGTTTGATATGTTAAGTTGGATTTGATGAGTTTTCATGGGTTTATGAGTTGAATTTTATTGGGTTCGTATAAATTGTCTGAAAAACCCAAGTTATAAGTTGAATTTTGATAAATTTGTGTTTTTTTTATTGTAATTGTTTTGTTTTGTTTTGTTTTTTTAATTGTAATTTTTTTTTTAAGTGTCATTTTAATTGTATTGGTTAAATATAAATATTGATATTTTATTATAAATTTATAAATTTTGATGTTTTGAACCCACTGACTTAGAATCCTGACCACGTCCATGACTATAAAGAAGTTTTACTATATTACTATAAACAAACCTAATAATCATTCATCTGCAACTTAAATATATAAAATGACATTTGATTGCTAGCTATAACCTTATCCCACAAAAAGAGGACAGTAGCAAGTTAAAATCCCTGTTAAATCTCAACAAATTCAGACATAAAATATTCAATTGATAATATGTAAATTATAATATTATGTCATTCATACTAATGTATCATCCTATATTATTATCATATAAAATGTAATACTATATCGGTCTAATAATATATTTTGTTGTCACATAACCTTTGGATTCCAACTCTAGAGCTGACAATTTAGAAAAACAACAAAATCGAGCTGTCTGGTATAACTAGTATATCTGTGACCATTTACTTTCCCTCATGTCAAAATGTAAGCAATACAATACAAATTAAGAAAAGAAGAATACAGATGAGTAAATGTAGTCATAAGTGTTGTGTATAGAATATTAATGTGTTTGCTTTTTAAGAGAGCTTGCTAAAGTGAAGATATATGTGCTCTGAAAAGCTGATCGCATTCACACCATGCTTTAGGTGGCAGGACCATCTAATGGGTCTTATCTTCCCACCTCTCTATTACTTCATATTTCTCTTTTTTATTTTAATTACCCACAACATAACAAAAAGGTAACCATTACACGTATATATTATCTAAAGGATTAACTGCTCTAAATTTATAAGAATTTAAAACATGATTTAATCGGTGTTATGGATACAACCAGTTTCTGTAACTGTCACTGAGTTCTCGTGCCATCTTTATTACTCATAACCAAGAAAACCAAAACCTCAATAAACCAATAAAAAAAAAAAAAAAAATTTAAAATTTAAAAAAGGTAAAGATTGTAATAGAACCCTTATCCATCCATCCAACGGCTGAAACATGATAAAAATTAAAGCTCTTAAAAAAGAACTCCACGTGCTTAAGTTTATTACTTGCCGCATTTGCTTTACACACATTCACCAGGGAAGAGAATTAAACCTTTCAAGTTTATTGCCGTTGTTTTCTTGAAATAATTTGAGAGAATTTTAGTATGGTGAATAAACAAGACGATTCATCAACATCACTGCCTGCTTCATCTTCTCGCCGCGCAAATTCTCCCAAAAATGTCCGCCACCTCAAGACCAACGTCGGTTGCATATCCGGCATTTTCCGCTTTGTTTATGGTTACAACAACCGCCGCCATGGCAAATTCATCACTTCTGGTTCTTTTCTTCTATCTTTCAAAAAGTTTCATAAGTTTTTTTAAATAATTATTATAATATTAATAAAATTCTTTCTTATTTTCTTAGGGAAAAAGCAGGAGAAGAACTCGGCTTCTTCGTCGTTAGAAGAAGAGAGGAAAACCGCAAATGGACCTCCAAGATCCTCGCACAGTGTACCGAGGAGTCCGACTTTGCCGGCGGAGATCCGACGGTCGATCACCGTAAAGTCACCGGAGAACTTGCAAACTACTCCGCCGTCCGCGGTTCTGACGGCTGAATCAGCTGCGGATAAGAGGAGGAAATTACTTGAAGCGTTGGAGAAATGTGACGAGGATTTAAAAGCTCTGAAGAAGATCATTGACGTTGTGAAGAGCAGTGTCAGTACCATTGCTGACGAAGAAAATAATAACAAAAATAATGATGAGAATTTTGGTGGAAGAGATAACAAGTGTTTGGAGCTTAACGGAGAGTTGCAACCGAGTCCGGTGTCCGTGCTTGAAGATTTCATGACAACGGCGAGTCTGATGAGCGGCTACTCTCGACGTTACACAAACGGTAAATCATCATCACTGTTGATAATTTGTTTTTGTTTGATTAATATTAATTATATTTGTCTTTTCTTTTGTTCATATTGCATGCATGAAATGTATCATTTATCACTAACAACAACAAAATAAGATAAGAATTAATTCCTTATGTTGCAACCATTTTTTACGATTTTAAGAAAGTCAAAAGACCCAACGGTTAAATTTTCCTAAGCTAGTCTACTTATTAATTGTTGCTATTAATATTAATGGTAGGGTGGCTTAAAAGGAACTTCAAAGAGACAAAAAACTCTAAATCCTTCTACTTGAATTCTAATTTGGAATTTGTTAGGTGTGGTTAAATATTTGAGGATTTAGGGATTGATTGAACTTTAATTTTTGGAAGCAAAGTTGAAACACTACATGCAAGTTTTATGATTCCAAAGTTTTTTAATCATATCAACTTGTGGGGAGACCATTATGATCTTTCATTTTAGTGGGAGACAAATAATAATAGCATGCCCGACTTACAGCTGTTATGATTGAAAACTA